ATGGCGCTGTTGGAACCGTAATATTCCTCCGGATAATCATCGATGTATGCCATAGGGTTTGCCGGTGTTCGATTAAAAATCATCACTTACCTGACGGGAGACTGCCACGCAAAGATTGCGAATATGGGTCAAAGCTTCCCCCTGTCTCAGGGATTATTTTGAACCCGTTATGCGTAGAACCAGTAAAATATCGTATATATTTTCTGGACCGCAAAATTTAGCCCATGTTCTTTTGTCTGATGGAAACCGAATATCGTTTTTGTTATGTTTCCCCGTGATAGTTGTCTTTTGCATACCAATGGAAATCCCGTCCCGTTTACGTCAGTGCGACCATACCTTTACCGTGAAGCATGATCACAGCCGTTATTCGATCTGTGTAGGTAAATATACCATGCCTAACCCAGCGGAGGGAGCGGGGCCGGTGGTGTAGTGGTAAGCGTGACCACATCTCACCCTAGCAGGCCAGGGTGCAATCCCAGTCGGCACCGATGGGATGTTCTGAGGCATAACATGTCTGATCACGCCTTCCTTCGAAAGGGAAGTAAAACCGTTGGTTCCCTGTCCATGAGTTGATAGGTCGATAGGTCCAGTTGTGGAAGCTGACTCCCTGGCGTCGGTAGTATTGGTGCTCAGCACGGAAAACAAATCAAGGCAAAAAAACCAGCGGGAGAGAATCAATCAGGCTTCTAAATTAAGCTAGATGCCGGTTAGGATTCTCATTTTATATACAGAAGCTAGGATGCTAGGATGGTATGCGGCATAGAATGTTTGAAACATAAATAATTACCTATCGCTCCCAAGCATTGAGGAAACCCCAAGACATCAAAACCGCGAACACTCTCTTCAATTTTCTCTCGGGTCAGAGGAAAATGATTAAAGTGCAATGGCCGCAAGATATGCCATGCCTCTTCGCAAAATTCCAGCAGCATACAACATGCTGTCGACTTTCCAATGCCGAAAAGGTTTGCGATGGTCCGGTATTCGGCCGACGATCCCAAGGAATACAGAGCGACGGCCACTCGTTTCGGCAAAGGAATTGCTTGACGCAGATTTGTATCTGCTTTTTTAAGACCAGGCAACATGCTGCATAAATTTTCAAAACTTTCCCGGTGCATTCGAAAGTTTTGCTTAAAAAACTCGTCGTCGTTTCGTTGGCAATCTACTTCCCAAAAAAGTTTTGTTCTTTCCTATGAAAATTATAGATTACATAGCATTAAAACTCAAGCTGAGACTCGTAGGCAAAATGTTTGAAAAAATGGGATACTTGCCATTGCCCACACTTTTCTTATTATTCCGCAATCATTGAGTACAAGCAGCAGCAAAACCTTCTGCTTTTTAAGCTTCTCTAATTTATCTAAATACATTTTCCGACACCTTCGGTGTCGCAGAATATCGCTTTTGAATATTCGATCCAAATTTACCATGGTATCGTTAATTACATTTAGGAAACCAAAACAGGTTTTCGCCACAATTTCGGAAGTGGTTTCAGCCATTTTCTGAACTTTGTAACTTTGTTTGTTTTTGGTAAACAACATTTGAAACTCACACAAAATCTCAAATGTCATCGTATATCACCTTGCCATCAGTGTGAACAGTTTGGTTTTAACTTTATAACACCTTCGCTATAACATGTTATAACTCCCAATCTGAACAAGGCATAAGACTAGTAGGTCCCGAATAAACGTGCTCAACTTTTTGGCTCAGCTCTGGTACTATCTTCGGTCCCAAGCTAATCGATTCACCCCTCGAAACATAGGAAAAACGAATAACCCCTCATTTCATCTGTCAAACTTTCATAGCGAATCATAACAAACATTGCGTAGTACTAGAATTTCAACTAGAATGGGATACGTTAATCGTTTGCTTGGGACCAATAGGCTAGTCAAGTAGTGAGCCAATTTAAAATCGTTAGTTTCGTATTGATTGTTGGTTATAACATGTTATAACGGTTTTCAAGTAATTTCAACACAGAAAACACCATCAAGAAAGCGCTATAACATGTTACAACTCTCCAGTCTGGACGGCGTTTTAGTGGAAATTCTCCTCTTCGTGATAGAGTTTGTAGTTTGTGCTAGGCCCTATTCAAATGATACGCGAGAGTTTTGAAGTACTCGTACGTTTATCTTGTGCCAAACATCCGACAAGAAATATAAGATCCGTACTAGCTGTTGATTCACATCAGGGTATTGAAAAATAATTTGTCCAACAGGAATTCACAACATCACTGGAAAGAACATTAACATTTTAATACTGTCAACTATCTACAACTCGAAGTCCAGAAACTCGATATCAAGTTATACTACCATAGCAAAAATAAATGTCATGGCTAATGGAAAACCGCTTTTGGATGGGATTGTTATTCTATAGCTCGATGGTCCGTTCTCGATGAGAAAGCACGCATTGCATAGTAGGTATATGCAGGGAACTCCATTTGTATTGCCTGAGATTGGACCAATATTCCATAAAAGTAGTAGTACACATGCACATATATATTTTTGTTCCTGAAAAGTCGAGAAATTTGCGATGTATTAAAAAAAAATCGGGATGTGCTTTGAGAATTCCCGCGAAACATTTAACAAGGGATGTTTTACTTCGTGGAACTTGCATGTCACCATGTAGTCACTGCTATCCGATGGTGTTTGTCTCGGTGTTTGTAATATCGAACTAATTCAGTAACCTATCTATAGATAGGTTACTGAATTAGTTCGATATTACAAACACCGAGACAAACACCATCGGATAGCAGCGAGGATAGCAGTGACTACATGGTGACATGCAAGTTCCACGAAGTAAAACATCCCTTGTTAAATGTGTATACACATTATCTAATCCCAGTCAAAGCGAATCTTTTCCGTAAATTTATTTTTTTTAACTTTCTATATTCTTCATCTTTACTTATTGCATGAGATGTGCACCCGGTATATTTAGTCACTTTTTCTTTTTGTCCTCAGCAGCATCTTTCTGTAAAGTCCTTAAACGCAGTATTACCAACAATCAATACGAAAGTAACGATTTTAAATTGGCTCACCACTTTAGTAGCCTATTGTCCCAAGCAAACGATTAACGTACCCTATTCTAGTTGAAATTCTATTACTACACTATGTTTGTTTTGATTCGCTATGAAAGTTTGACAGATAACATCAGGGGTGTGTGGATTCATGCAGAACATGCAGGGGTGAGTGAAATAGCTTGGGACTGCTTGGGACCGTTGTTCTGGTACTGAGTGAGCCAAAAATAATAATGATTTTCTTCGGGACCCAGTGGTCTTAGAGTTATCTCTATGGTATTACTGAAAACGAAGGCATTGCGAAGCCAAAAAATAAAACTCACTAGGATCTTTCACTGGTTAATGCACAAACCTGAACATGACGATCAGGACCTGTTTGTTGGTGGTTAGATAGAGGCAAGAGTACTACACAGCAAAAAAAGTTGTTGAATATTACATCGAAACTGCTGCAACCAGGTCAATCAATCGGTTGTGTAATATCACATTGTACGATGTACATCGATTTTGCGAACAAAATTACATTCATTGATGTAATATTGTATCTGCTTTTTGCTATTACATCATTATTTCATACATCAGCTTGAATTACGTTGATTGATATTACATTTTTTTTTGCTGTGTAGTTGCTTTTCTATAATTACTAGATAACCCGGCCTGACCGTTCCGTCAACGTTTATGAATTGCAAACTGAAAATTCAATATCAATATTTTTGACTTGTCGCGCTTACGTTTGATGCAATAGGAAGAATACACTAGAATACATAAATATTCAATTATATACCAGATATAGACTTACTTGTACCGGGCTGTCAAGTTGTGCACCCGGTTTTTAATCTCATCCGTTGTAACCGCGTGTCCATGCTGCTCAAAAAGAACCCGCATTTCCTCGAAAACATGATTATTTTTTCGAGCCCCACGCAGATCTTGCAACTTTACTTCCCACATTTCGAGTAGCAGATCAACTTGATCGGGTGTCCAAGGATTTCGTTTGCTCTTCGTGCGCTTTCTTTTCTCCTCCATTGTAATATTTAAAATGTTTTTAGCAATTGAAAATGTACTCGTAACATAAAAAAAGCTAAAATGGAACGCGAAATTTAAAAACAAAAATGGAACGCGAGACTGAACGAACTCAAGGAAAGGTGTCAGAATTCTGAAGATGACATTTTGAAGAAAAAAATGCCGACCAGCTCTATCGTGGCCGTGTTGCTAGCAGTCACTCAATCAATTTCTGACAAGCATGGATCGTGATATGAGCTATATCAAGCACTCTTCGTGATATAGGTTGACAGATCGTTGTATGGGATATCACGTAATATAGAACGTGATATAGCTGCTATATCACGAATCGCTCTATATCACGTGATATAGTGCGTAATGTGAACGGGGTATTATAAAAGCCATGTGTAACCATACACATACTATTCATTTGACTCATAAATTTTATGTGTGATTCTGGGTGGATTCTGTTTATGTGTGGTCACATGAAAATCATGTGGAATTTCACATGGAAATTCGTCCATAAAAATGTGTGGGTATTAGTGCATTAATTTTGTTTATGGATGCAAATCATTTGCGTTTCCAATGGAAACTACATGAAAACTATTTTCGGTGTAGTCCTCTCTCCGAAAATTTTTGCGCCCTTTTGTGTTCACCACTCCTCTCTCCCATTTTTGCGGAGTGATTTGAGGTATGGGCGCAATTGCTTTTGGAAACAAACACATCAATCGCTGATTTTTTTGCGAATTACAGCTCAATATTCAAAAATAATAACACAATCAGGCAGCAAAATTATTTGGTATAGTTTATTTACGGGATAAAGCTTTTATTCGCGAAAAATCGACGGTTGACGTGTTTGCTTACAAAAACAATTAAGCCCAAATTTTAAATCACTCCGGAATATAGAGAGGATGAGGATGTGAAATGAATCAACTTCTTTGAACCTTGTATTTTGTCATTGGTCTTGACTGTGACGAAAGTGAACAGGGCTAAAACCGTTGACTCTGAATTAGGCACGTTTCTTTTCTTTTGGCGGATCCGATTTCTGTTAGTGCTCGTGATGCATTTTCGTTATCAAATGGATTGAAATCGAATATCTTAAAGTTTACATTATAGATAGTTGAGTGTTCCGAGAACAAACTTTCATTACATCGCGTCTGTGGTGAGTATGTAAATTGTGTCCTTTAGTCGCAGATTGCTTCACGCAAGGAAATCTTCCGCAGAGAATAAAGCCTCCGTTCAAAATGGATCTGCTGCAGCAGCTACACCGTCTCAACCGGAAACCTATGTCCAACTACACGGTGGAATGTTTCAATCGGGCCCCACACCTGCAAAATGCTGATGTAATAGCCTATCGTACCTACGTGCTTAAGAATGGTCCCTTCATCGACGAAAGCGTCGCTGCGGATTTACTCAAGAGCAACAAGAAAGCGTCCGAGGTGCGCCTGGTGGGCAATCGGTTGTTCCTGGCCAAGGATTCCAAGGCGGCTCTCGAGAAATACAACGAGAGCATTTGCTGGGCCGAAGGCAACTCTGAGGATTTGGGGATCGGCTATGCAAATCGGTGAGTTGGGTTGAAGGGGTATTTTCGATAGTGGGTTAGGCTAATTAATTACAAGTGGGATTTTGCAGATCTGCAATCTACTACGATATGGAAGAGTACGAATTGTCCCTGCACAACATAGAGCTTGCCAAGAAGCACAGCTATCCGCAACGGTTGATGCCGAAGTTGCTCGCTCGAGAACTGAACTGCAAGGAGAAAATAACAAACGGTCATTCCAAACGTGTTCAACGGTGTCTGAAGTTGGCAATGAATGTGGAAGTAAACCCAAAGAGACCCTTCATGGCTGCTGGTATCGAACAGAAGGAGCTTCCCAGTTACGGACGAAGTATGGTGGCTGAACGTGCCTTCAAGGCGGGAGATGTGATCCTGCAGGAGCAAGCCATACTGACTTCAATAAGTCCGGAGCTGAAGTTTAAAAATTGCAATCATTGTTCGGTCGACAACTTTCATAGCTTGATTCCCTGCCCTAATTGTGTCTCGGTCATGTACTGTAGCGTGGAATGTCTGGAGAAGGGACTAAAGTTCAGTCATCGGTTCGAGTGTGGCATTGCAGAAAAATTGCACCACATTTCCTACGGAAGCAGCCGGATTTTCATGGGAACGAGAGCGTTCTTCTACGGATTGACTCTGTTCAATGATGATGTGCAGAAGATGATGGAGTATTGCAAAGCGAATGATAGAACGGGAGCCGATCCGTTCACCCTGGACTACACGGACTACGATCCACTGGAGGAATTCAAGATTTTCCACAAGGCCAAACTTCCCACCAACAAGTTTCTGTACGAGGACTCGTTCCGATTCTACGCTGCAGTTTACTATTCGATATATATAAAGCACCCTCTGGTGCGTTCCATCGTCACCACAAGAGCCCAGAAGGATTTCATGCTCCACAGCTTTCTGGATTACATGCGCATCATCGGATTTTTGATCATTGGACCTCGGCAGAACTTTACCAACCAGCTGTACTCGATTGCGTCTGTTTGTAACCATTCGTGCGATCCGAACACTGCCGCCGCCACCTACTTCGGCCAGCTCAAGTTCATCGCCATCCGGCCAATCTCGAAGGGCGACCAGATCCTGGTATCCTACGGTCCGCTGGCTAGAGAGTATTCGGATAACGAAAGACGCCAAGCCATAAAAATGTACCATTTCAATTGTCTTTGCGACGCGTGCAATGTGGTCCAGTTGCGATGCAAGTTATCAGCTGCCAAAAAGCTTCCGCCGATTCCATACAAGCATCTGATCACTGTTCAAAAGCTGATCGAAGATCCGAATACCAACGATGCGGGCAAGCTGAACATGTTACAGCAGTTTGCCGAACGGTATGTGTACGCACATCCTCGGAATGACTACGTCGTACTGCTGGACATCTACCGGGAGCTGCTGCTCACCATGTTCACCAAGGAAGTGCAGGATCAACTGCGAGCCAAGGCGAACCAATTGGCTTGATTTTGTTTTGCTTCACCGTTGAAACGGTTGTGTTTATTTTTTTTTTTCCTTTCATATTGAATTTTAATTTTTTGTTTTTTTTAAAGAATTGAATCACCTAATTGCTTCTGTTGATTTAAAATACACTATATCGAATGTTGAGTCCTCGACACATAATGAACTGTTTTTTTTTTTCATACCGTGTATAATCAAATTTGCCGCTTTTCCACTGAATATAACTGCATAAAAATACATCAACAACTGTTACTTTAGTCAAACGTACTACCTAGGGCCATGAGGAAGTTGTTGAGCTCCGTCTTTGCGGTTTTAATATGCACGCAGGTGCTAACTGCTCCAGTGGTAGACGAAGGCGACTCGGTAAGAAACCCCTGATTTCCCCCCGTATAAACTCATTCTTCTATCATCCCTCAGGAGATGAAACGATTCGAACTGGAAGCGCAGCGGCGCACGAGACGGCAGTATAATTCTGCTGCCGAAGACGGACAACAACCGATGGATATGAATACTGCTATGACAATGCTGTCCTTTCTAGCTAGTGGTATGGTCGCCGGTATGGGTTGGGGCTAATTGAAGGCCTTCGCGCGAAGATTTAATAAATATCTGTTATATTAAACCATATACCTACATTTATTTGCCTGATAGTAGGTTCTTCCTTCGTGGATCATTATTGAATGTCACTTTTACTCCAAGATTAATATTCTTCCCTCACGTACTAACATAGGTATCCTGATCACCTTCAGTGCCATTCAGTGAAAGGTTTCCATCGTGGATGATTGATGAAAAAATCTGAATGCGATGTTGAGGATAAATTGGGTGTATGATGAGGATGTGTCGTTCCTCTTGACATAATCGAAAAATCCTAAACAACATTCCTAGGCTGAGATTTTAAATCTTTTCCAAGAAAACAAAATTTTTCGAAGCCGCATTCGCTTATGTACATTTTGAAATTCATAAATTTTAGTGATAAATGTCCTTTAACTGAAACTTGTTTCAGTTTAAAGAAGCATTAATCTTCTATGAAAAAATGACAGCTTAGTTCTTAGACATTTTTATTCCTCATTTGGTATCGAACATTTTTTTAAATACAAAGTAAATTGCAAAATTCAAACCACATTTACCATACAGCTTCCGGGCCTCTTGCTTCATGTGAATGTTTGGCATCGTTTTTATCATATCTCATGATAGCAGAAAATATACCACCTCTTGCGCCAATGCCAACAACTTTTCCAAATTCATATCATAGCTAAACGTCCCGCTGAAGGTTTGACGTCGGTTTCTATTACCTTGCCCCAACCGTGCCATCGGAACTAGTGACCTCTTCCACAGGCCCATACGTTCGTCTATCATGTTGTGTTTATTATTGAGATTTTCCTTCTGCATATTTTGAAGCGGGTTAGATTTATTTTTTCAATTGACTATATATTTAATGAAATGCTTACCTGCTCCTGAGAGCTATCGGCGCCATGTACATGAGTCGCTATTAGAGTAATCACTATTGAAATAATTGCTATCCTCATGACTAGGAAACAGCCGTTATCCTATATATTTGGCAACATAAAGGTAACCATCGGTGGGCTTCCTAGAGAATAGCATTTTTATTGATTCTCGAGGGTGCCGGATTTTCTTATCGTGTTTAACAGTCGTTACAATATTTAGTAAACTATGCTAAGCGTGTGTAAATAAAACTAGATAAGAAATTACAGAGCTGGTGTACCAAGATCAAGTAAGTATTTTCTTTCTAGACTTCACGCCAAATTTTGATACCAATTGCTGAACAGAGTTCAGCAAAATTAAAATTTACTGAGAATCCAGCAAAAAATTTGTTTGTAGGATGACCAGTAAAATGCGGGAACTGGCCAATAAATTGCAATATATCATATCAGCAGGCTATTTTCCACATATAGAAATTGAGAGAAGTGGGAATAATTCGCTTTCGATGTTGTAGTCAAAAGGGTTTTTAAGTGGGGAAGTCACCGTTGATGGCGCTTAAGTCGAATAGGAATCTTTACACAAGTTTATATAGAAATTTTGTTCGACCCTTCATGTCTGTTCTCTGTGATGTCTGTTCTCTGTGATGTCTGTTCTCTGTGATGTCTGTTCTCTGTGCTCGAAAGGAAATTTGTGAAATAAGAAGTAAAACAAATCCTAGCTATTTTTGCATGATGATTTTGCTTGATTGCATTTTTTTGTAAAGTCGCCGCGAAATATCAGCTGGACTTCATTCGAGCAGATAAAATGACGGTTAACTACCACTCGAACTTTGAAATGAAACATTATTTTAAGATTTTTTCTTCTAGAACCTCGAGAAAAGTAGCCAACATTTGTGCGTTTCACAAAAAAAAAATAGAAATTAGTTGGTCCAGTTTTGTGAAATCGCTGGTACACACAAAAAATAATCATTGATAAAATTAAAAATAACATTGGTAGAATTGAAAGTTTGCGTTGGTTATTTTTGGTAGAAAGCGGATAGCACAGACAAACATACATAACACTCGTAAGTTGTTAATCGAACAAGCATTTAACGGTTAATTTAAAAGTATCGTAGTTGGTAGTACCACCACCTGTGGCGCGCATAGTGATTTTCCTTGCGTTTGATGTTTACACACTACCGCCATCTGTTCAGCGTACTACACACCACAGTGTACTCAACAGATGGCGCTAATGTTTCAGCGACGATGTTTTACAGTGAGAAATATTCAATGTGTTATGTCTGTTTGTCTGTGCGGATAGCTTTCGAATCGAAAGTCTGCCAACTGTCAATTCAAAAGTTGCCCGCGCCCATCTTCTTTTTAAAGCTGAAACTTTCAAAATAAATTGTAGAACAGTCAGATGAAAAACGGGGCAGTGTTGAAATTGAAAGCGGATTATTTTAAATTCAACATTAATATTTTCAAAACAACATCGTAGTTTTATTTTAAATTCTAAGAAAATATTAAATTTAAAGCACAGACAAACAGACATAACACTCGCAAGTTGTTCTTCGAACAAGCATTTAACGGTCAATTTAAAAGTATCGTAGTTGGTAGTACCGCCACCTGTGGCGCGCATAGTCAATTCCCTTGCGTTTGACGTTTACACACTACCGCCATCTGTTCAGCGTACTACCCACCACTGTGTATTCAACAGATGGCGATAATGTTGTAGCGACGATGTATTACAGTGAGAAATATTTGTCTGTGTTTAAAGTGTCTATTTTTAAATACAAAGGTTCAAATATATGTTTAATATAATTATTATATTTTTTACTATAATGATCAAACTGAAAATAAAAAAAAGCAGTCAAGTTGCACGCAGTTCACCGTTTAACGTTGCAACGTTCGCCCGGAGGTAATATTCGTTTGGCAAAAGCGTGTGGAACAATGGTGCCGTCTTCTCCTGTGACCAGATTCTTGCAGTAGTTCTCTGCTCCAAACAGGGGAAGCAACACCCCAAGAAATCGACTTCCAGGGACATCATTCACGGATAATCTCGCAGTTTCCGAGGACAAATCGTTCATTCCAAATCGGAGCTCACTTTTCTCGTGTACCATTCGCCAGCGGAATTTTCCTTTCTCGTTACCTCGACGTGAAAGATTGAAGCATTTTGTGTGACAATTCTACAGAAATCTCCTTGTTTCCCGTGGTTACCATCACCCTACTTCCGTAATTTTGTATATTGCACAACATAATCGTAGTCGATGAAGTGGTAGGTACACAACATCCGTGATTCCGGCAGGGGATCATCTTCGATGTGAATGCCATATCTAGATAGAGCTGGAATTAGGGCGTAACAACCTTTGTAAACAATGACTTCTATCGATGATTTCTAGGAACTCAAGGCACGCCCACGCAAACCAACATAACCGTCAGATAGGGGAAGTCTTCCTCTACCAGATGGTATTGTTGATTTGCGTTGGCGAGCCTCAACTTTCTAGAAATCATCGAAAGAAGTCATTGTTTACAAAAGCTGTTACACCCTAATTCCAGCTCTATCTAGACATATGTCATATATGTTTACCTTTGTATGGGTCCCCTCACATTGCTCAATCCCAGGCAATGATAAGGCGGACTCTCTCGCAAAGGTGGGCGCGCAGGAAGGCGAATTTGATGACAGGCAAATTTCACACGATGAATTTTACCATTTAGTGCGTCAGAGTACCCTTTCGAGTTGGCAAACCGATTGGGACAATGGAAATCTTGGACGGTGGTTACATTCAATTATTCCTAATGTTTCTTCGAGAGCGTGGTTTAAAGGCTTGGACTTAAATCGTGACTTCATTCGCGTGATGAGTAGGCTTATGTCCAACCACTACTCGCTAGATGCTCATCTCAATAGAATAAACCTCGTAGACAGCAACATCTGTCGGTGTGGAAACGGTTACGATGACATCGATCACGCAGTTTGGCAATGTACGGATAATGACGCCGCCAGAGAGCGACTTTTGAATACCCTTGAGACCCAAGGAAGACAACCCTATGTTCCTATCAGAGACGTTTTGGGAACTCGCGATATCTGCTATATGCAGTCGGTTTATGTGTTTCTTCAAATGTCCAGTATAAGAATTTAATTCCTTTGTCTTTTGTCTCTCTTTAATTGTTTTTGTTTGTCTTGTCCCCCCGTCTCGATGAGTCTCATCGTCACCTACTGGTCACCATAGCCGGTCGAACTCCAGACGTAACTAGAACCGCACTACCATTCATACTGGCGACAACGCTCTGATGAGACAACGAAACCTTACCCCCAAACTCCTCCCCTGATCCTATCCTTCGACAATGTACCTCTCTAACCTCGAGTAAGCCACGAGTATTCGGCCCAACTCCTACTAGACATAGAATTAAGTGAATTTTGTTACAAACAAAGAACAATGAACTATCGGCTCCGTAAAGCTAAAGCGATTGAGCCTCCCAATTAAACGAACTAGTTAAAAAAAAAAAGAGATGCTAACACCACGTAACGGCGACGTTCCCACTTATTTTACATAAGTTTCTGACCGAACTTGAACGTCTGTTCTCTGTGGTTATAGGAGATCAAAAGCAAAACCAAATGCATTGTGGTGACACTTACTTTCCAGTTCAGTAACTAAAAACCTGATGGTAGTTTTGTTTTTATTGAATAGAGGTGATACGGAACTACTGAAAAATACTTGTTAATCACTGCGAATTCCACGGGTTTCTATAATGAAACGAGGTGAAAATGGTAAAAAACATATCAACTACTCTATCCAACACATTTTATACACAGAGAACAGACGTTCA